CTAGTTCTTTTACACCAGCCAACAATTTATCATAAAAGCTTCTTACAATTAACGCCCATAGCCACCAAAGAGGGGATTCTTTAGTTTTATAATTTATGATACTTTTCTTTCTCTTAAATTTCAATGGTTAATTGAGAAACTACTATCGATTATGTAGTTGCGACACTCGTTTGAAAGCTAATTCAGGTGCGAAAGTTTATTGATATTCTTGTCATGCGAGACCAGTTTTAAGGAAGCATTCCTTACATTCGCAGGGTACTTTTTTCCAGGGACACGGGAGATTTCTTGTAGGCTCATGCGATATACACGAGACTTTCTTGATGTTTCATTTTTTTGAAAACGTATGTACGGCAAATTTTAAGTTTAAGTCATCGCTAAATAAGTAGAGTAAAATTCTAGTCTTATGTTACTCATACTTATCATTTTCAAGAGTGTAGTGGAACCGGAACTCCCCGTTATTTTTAGGTGATACGGAACGTGATTCCGGAACTTTAATGATAATATTACTAATTTTAACTTAATTTCAAGTTTTTTATTACAGTTTTTTTAAAAATATAATCACCTCGTAATAGTAACTAAGTGAACACTAACTTTTCTAACTTGCAGTGCCGGAAAACGTCACACCTCAGGTAATACTTTTAACGGTGCCCTTAGCTCAATTTTGGAAAGGATGTATTTAAAAAAAATTATTGAATTGTCTTGCGGGAGCAGTTATAACTGAACCATACAAAGTACTTTAATCCTGGCAGATCCTGGCAGATTAATCCAGTAATCCTGGCAGAAAAAATCTTCCCTGGAAAATACGGAACTTGTCCAATGTGGTTTTTTTTTTTATTGCACACTTTTCTTTCCAACTTTAGTAAAACTTTTATTTAGAGAACTTTTACCATAAAAAAAAGTAAACCTAAGAATTTATAATTACTTAAAAATAACCAGAAATATATTTTGAAAAAGGAGGAAATAAATAATTTTCAGAAGATTAAATTTGGGTCTCTCCGGGCTCCCCCTTACAAAAGAATATAAAGTACTTTGTCTTTACCTGGCTCTCAGGGCGATCGCCACGCTTTGCCCACCCCTTTCGCCGACCCTGCTGATTTGCTAAGTATGAAAGCAGTTATATTAGATTAAGACAATTAATCTATTGAAAATTAAACATTTATTTAACACGTCAATTCTGTTTTTAAACTGTAATTATATTTCATTTACTCATTGCTTCCAGGAATCGGGATTGATAAAGAGGATAACATGAAATTTTTTTTTTGTATTGTTTAAAGCAGGGCGAGGGATAATTTTTGTTAATAACTAACATAATAATATGTAATATTTTATTATATAATTTTTTATGCAATAATTCATAATACTTTATAAACATGTTAATAATAATTTGTAAACCTGTAAGCTCCTATATATTGTTAACTGATTTTTAAGAAAGGAAAAAATAATTAAAAATAAAAGTATTTCTTTTTTTTAATGCCGTTGATTTCAAATGGAGGCTACATTAAAATAAGGAAACTTAAGTGCATAAAATAACTTTGATAATTATAGATAATTTTTCTTATTTTTTTTATCAAAAATTATCGTGTATAATTTTATATTGCGCCCTTCCTTCGCATGTTGCGGTGATTATCCTTCCGGTTAAAAATGTTTGGCACAACAACACTGGCTAATTCTCAAAATTTAATGCCATTTGAAAATTTGAAGGAAAAAAATTTTGAAAATATTTACTTCCTGAAAATAATTTAATGAATTTTTCTTCTGTGCTATTTAGATATTTAGATGTCTTTCATTCATTTCACTCTCTTTTTTTCTTTAAATATTTTTGCTTTATCCATTTTTGACTAGACATAAAGGAAATAGTAATTTTTCTAACCATAGTCCCTATTTATTTTGCAGATTCAGGAAGAAATATATTTTCTATATAACTTAAATATTATTAAAAAAAAAGTTAATTGTTTGAAAGAAAAGCATATAAAGAAAAGGTTTATTGCTAAGTTTGTCATATTGGCCACTGGATGTGATATTAGTTATGGCATTATAAAGCTCAAAAATTAAAGAATCCGAATAATTCTACATAAGAAGTTGAAATTCTACTTGATTTGGACTATAAACCTAATTAGACAATTATTCAGTTAAATAAATAAATATTTTTCATACAACTAATTGTGTAAACAGACATGGTAGTGTAAATGAGCACTGTGATACTGTTCATCACATATTCTCACCCTCTTCTTCTTTTATTTTGCCAATTACTCAATTACTTGGTTAACTTCCAATTTAGTCCTTCAAGTTTATCTCCCTATGCTCGCTATAAGCTAATTCATTTATCTTGATATCTTCCAGTTATATGCTTTGAATGCTTCCAGAATTGAGTTGTAAGCAAACGGAAATATGCTTTAAAATTTTGGTTTTAGGATCTTCTATCTTGAGCTTTCTTAAGTTTGTCTTTAAATAGAAGGATGATTTGTCTTCAGAGGAAAGAGATATAATCATTAAAAAATAGATTATAACTCAGATGAACCAATTAATTTCTAATTATTGATGAAATTGCAACGGATAAATATATGATGCTACTTAATGCTTTTTTTAAAAGATTGCTTAGGAAATTTTAAAAGGTAACAATTCCCATTCAATATGATTCTTGTGCTCGTGTGATAATAAAAAAATAAAGAAGATTGAAGTAAAAAGTATCAGTTATTAAGTAGTTGATTTTCTGCATTTTTCTACGCTTTGTGATCTCAACATCTTTACAAGCACTTACCACTAAGAAACTTTGTTTTTCATCAACTGTACGCAGATTATTCAAAGTAGCTACTTATATTTCCTTTTCATATAGTTTTCACTTGCAAGAAATGTTGCCATAAATATATTTTAATTCTAAAATTAAAAAAATATTAATAAGTGTATAGTAGTAACAGACAGGAGTAGTAATAGCCGCGGTTGGTGCTACGGAAGTGACGTCATCACCCAAAGTCAACCGGAGCTTATTTCTGCCCCAACCGGAAGTTGCTTATTTCTGCCCGCCTTTAACCGGAAATTGCTTATTTCTGCCCACCTACAAACCGGAAGTTGCTTATTTCTGCCCGCTTGCTTATTTCTGCCCGCCTGAAAATCGAAACTTCGTCTGCAGCGTCATGGGGAGCTTATTTCTTTTTTTCTTAAGCCTAATATATTTTTAGTTTCGGTTTCTGTTTTTAATTTAGTTTCGTTTTTTTAAATATTATTTAATTTATTAGTTTTTTGAGGGTGGCAACACTTATTATTTTTAATATTAGTTTTTAAGGATGGCAACACTTAGAAACTTTGTTATTTGGGGTGAGCAATTACACTTTATNAGAAAAAAAAGAAATAAGCTCCCCATGACGCTGCAGACGAAGTTTCAGGCGGGCAGAAATAAGTAGGCGGGTAGAAATAAGCAACTTCCGGTTGGGGCAGAAATAAGCTCCGGTTGACTTTGGGTGATGACGTCACTTCCGTAGCACCAACCGCGGCTATTACTACTGACAGGGTATCCGTTATCAGAGAACGGAATTTTCTTACACAAAAATTTATTGTTTTTATCTTTTAGAATGTACCGTTGACTTGAGTTACTTTAGCTAGCTTTAGCTTGAACATGTAGCAAAAAATTCCTATACTTTTGTATAAATTAATGACCATTTTTACTACTTTCTTCTCTATATCGTAAAAATTTATATCGATATTAGCGATAGTTACTTCGTCAACCGAAGTAACCTGTTTACCAGATGTTTTTGATTAAAAAATGCTTCCAAAGTATTGAAAATGTTTCTTAGATGAAGGAACATTGATAAAAAATACAATTAAGTAAAGTTGAAAAAATAGCTCATTATTACTTATTATTATAAGATCTAATGCACATTCGCTAAATTGTAAAATTTTCGTAGATAACTATCAGCAAAAATAATAAAAATGAAGAGAAATATGTTTGTAGATAATGTGATTCGAGCTATTGAAAAAAAAAGAAAACTTAGAAAAATCCTATTCAAAAACGAATATGTCTCTTCATTGTTTGGATATAGAATTTTGAAAACATTTGCAATATAAATGCCGGATTAATAAGTTAAAAAAGAAACTCGAACTTTTCAATTTTTAAGCTTCTTTTTTAGAGCCGTTTCGAAGGGATAGGTCTGACACAATGTTTCATTTGACTAACGTTTCAATATCATTTTTATCATTTACAAAGGCAGATGTTGACATTCAGCATGCATAAAAGAAATAACAATGATGATGAATTTAATATTTTTGCTAAATATAATTTCTCACGAAGGCTAATATTGCATTCAGCATGCACAATATGCAATGACATAAGTGATGGGGAATTAAATATTTTTGTTAAATATCATTTCTCACTTACAAAGGCAAATGTCGACATTGAGCATGTGCACGAAATAACAATTATGAGGAATTTAATATCTTTGTTAAATGTTATTTCTCACAAAGGTAAATATCAACCTTCAGGATGCACAATAAACAACAATGATGGGGAATTAAATATTTTTGTTATATATCATTACTTTTCACTTACAGGGCAAATGTCGACATTGGCAGGCACAATAAATAATGACAACAATGATTGGGAGTTAAATATTTTTTTTAACTATCATTATTTCTCACAAAGGCAAAAGTCAATATTCAACACTCACTGATGGAAGGATTGTTTGGGGAAAATAATGTAAGCAAACTGAATTTTTTTTTCTGCATTAAGAACGTTATTTGCAGGAGTAATAAGTTTGTAGGAAAATAAGCAAAATAAGGACTGGAATTCGGACATTCACCAAAAGGATTATTTAAATATAAACATTTATTTGAAAAAATATTTATGTTTTCGGACTCCCTCCGCATCATTTTCTTTTCCTACAATCGCGTCACCTATTCTATTAGCTTCCCCGCGAAGAATATCGAAATTCCTGAACTTTTGCGAAATTCCTCTTGGCGATCTTTTGGCGGCATCCTAAAAAGCAGACAACCCTCTCAGATGTAGAGAAACAAACCGACCACGTGTGTTGCCACAAATGATGCAGAGAAGTTGTCAGAGAAAGATTATTTACGATTCTCCTTCGCAACGAACGCCATGTGGGTTTCGTCTGCCAGTTGAAAACTCCCCACTAATAAATTTAGAATCGTTTTTAATAACCGACTGTTATTGTTGTGTGAAATAAATTATACAATTGCGTGCTAGATATTGAAAGAAGCACACACAAGGTTAAAACTGAATTACGTAATATTAAATTGCATTGAGAATTGTGCTGTTTGTTTTGATTGTTAGTTTTTCCCTGCATGTCATTTGATGATGGATTGATTATGAAAACTAGATTGAAGAGTTAGATTATCTTCAGTGAAGTTTATTGCTAACTATAATGGGAAATATTCCTTTAGATGTACGCTACATAAAACGATGATCATTGTTTGAAATGAATGATGATTGCATTGATAGTATAATGTGTGGCTTTAATACTGGTACTAAATTTACATCGTGCTTTAAAAAATCAAAAAGTTTCTGTGTATATTTAAATTTGTGAAAACTGCACCATAATGCTTTGGATTAGAAATAGTTGCTTTGTTTTTATGAAGTGCTGGTTGATGATGATGATGGTTTTAGTAATCGTCGACGCTGGTGAAGATGGTAAGGAAATTTAATGTTTTTGTTTGTAAATATTTGAGTATTTTAAATTAATTTAAGTTTAAAGAACTATATAATCTAGATAAATGTGAAGATGTGTGTTGTTGAACTAAATCTCACAAGTCTGTTTTGACGCTTTCTTTTTGCTACATTTCAAAAATAGAAGTTTTCTCTTTTTTTTTAATAAATATAACTGAATTTTTTTTTACAAAATCATTCGCTTTTTTTTTAATGGTTCTAAATTACAAGAAATTAAACTATCTAAGAAAGAAAATTACCGCTTATCTTGATCAATTGGTTAATTTATAATTGTCTGATGAAATTCAAATTAACATAAACTATTTAGAATGGATTTATATAATATTAAAGTAGGAGACTATCAAACTTATTTCTTTTTGTTGACTTAGGTCATTTGAAACTCGTAAAAGTTTTTAATCAAAAAATGCTAACTATTGTTTCTGGGAATATAATATTAGTATTGTTATTATAATATCTTCAATAAAACGTTATATTTTATTACAAATTTAAAATAAATATAAGTCTAAAATTTCCTTTGCTTTTTCCCCTTGTTCATGTGGAACATTTTTCCGTTACCCCCTGAGTATAGACGTAATAAGTAAAGTATATAACAATGCAAACGGAGATAACATGATAAAGATTGATGCTATTTCACTTGCATAAACATTCGTAATTCTCATACCTTTTCAATCAATTTTTATCGTTTAAAATGCTTGTCAAGAAAAAGGGAATTACAAAGGGTAAATTTTGTAAAAATAAAATTAAAGTATTTTGGTAACGGAGCTATTGGAACTTATTACTTGTAATAAAATTGAAAATTTATGTGAAAAACAGAAATTTTGAAGCTGCAAATTGGGAAGAAATTACTCCATTTGTTTCGTCACCAATTTATCTTTCACAGTGAGCTGTAAGAACAATAAAGTATTTGGTTAAAGTATTTGGGCTATTGATATAGAAAGGGTATTTGGGATAAGATGTATGTTTTTTTTTATGCCCAATTACTAAAGTTTGGATCAAATCCTTTGTTTTAGAATCTCTGCACTAATTTTTCCTCACTTTAGCTATTTATTCAAAAATAGCTCACAGAATTTGTTATACACTAATACTTTTTATTTTTTTATACTTAAACAAGCATTATAAAAAAAATTAAAGTCACTTCCTGCTTTAGTCAACAACAAAAAATTTATTTTAATTATTTTTTATTAAATAATTGAAACAATTTCTCCCATAAAATTAAAATTAATGAATGAATTAATATTTGAAAAACTGTATTAACATCAAGTAACCACTACAAGTTTTAAAAAATGTATTTGAACGTGAGTGGATGAATAAATAGTATTTTACTAATGGTTGAAAATTTGAACAAGATATTTAAATATAGATGGAGCGTGAACTAATAGTAGGAATTGAAAAAAAAAGGCATAACATTGTTTTTAGCATTTTTGCAATAAATAAGATTTAAGCAAAATAAAGAACAAGTTTTGTGACACTTTATTAGAAAGGAAAATAAAAGTATTGGATCAGATTCTTAGGAGAAGTAGATAAAAAATTTCATCTAACGATGCGATTTTGAAAACGTTTCAATCGTAATACTGCATGCTCCGAAACTTACAAAATGTGCTTCTTTGTTTTTATCATGCTTTTTGACTAGTTTTTTTTTCCAAATACTATTGACTTATGCATGTGTTAAGTAGTTCATCTTCTTACAGACTGCTAATAGTAACTTTTACTTGTAATATCAATAACTGTGTAATAGCTTATTTTTTTTAGATCTTTTTATAGGATCCCGTCTTAATAAATTATGAAAGAGGTTAGTTTTGCATCATGCTTATACAAACAAAGAATGATTCTTTTATTAGCGGCATTCTTGGCTTTGTTTTATTTAGGCGAGATTCACTTCTAAACATCAGAATAGCATATAGCATGAGACATTATTTCTGAGCTTTAAGTTAAACTTTTCATTTTCGTTATTGAAATAAGCTTAGAAAAGCACAAAAACTTAAGGAATGTGAGATATTTCTACGATTAGATTTTTACGTGAATTATAGAAAAACAAATTATACTTATGATAGTAATCTAATTTTAGACATAAAATATGATGTATGATGTTCATTATATGATGTATGATGTTCATTTTTTATAATATATGATGTTCATTATATTATAAAAAATGCATAGTATTTTACAAAACCAGCTTAAATTAAATGAAAAACGATACATTATTAAGGAACTCCTTCGAATTTAAAGATAAACTAATATGAAATTCCTCTTAATGTTAATAAACGTCAAGTTTAAACACTATTTTTAAAATGATTTGTTTAATAATCGTAACTCGGAATTTATTACTGACTTCTTTAATAATTAAAATTACAGTTTTGAATTATGTGCAAATTTTCAAAATAAATTTTAATTGTGCTTTCCTTTTAATAAAGCTTCAACTTAAAATGTAAAAAAAATAATTTAAATAATAATTTAAATAATTTGTTATTACCTCTATAGAAAACTTATTTAATCATTTGCTTAAAGCCGTTTTAAAAACTTAAATATTTTAAATAAAACTTTTTTTTCTGTTTTAATATTTAATAATTTCTGATAAAAGAAAATCATTAAATTGTTTTAGATTATCTTGAATTTAGCGTGAATTATGAATTTAACACTTGAATAAATTTAACACATTATAAAATGGATCATTGTTTTCATAATACAAAGTATTTTTCTTAATTTTCGCTTAAATGTTAATTTGTGACCCCTTTGTGAATATACATTTTGTTCAAAATATTTGAAAAAGATTTTAAAAATTTACTGAGTTTCCCGTAATAATTGGTAACCCTAATATATATTTAAAAACATGAAGTTAAAAAAAGTATACGCTAGCTAAAAAAAGGTGAAAATACAAACTACTGAAAGTATTAAAATCTTCTTTATTGCTTGGTAGTAGTAATAATACTTTATTAACGTCACACAAGAGCTGCACAATGAGCTATTGGCGACGGTCTGGAATGATTCGAAGTTGATCAAACATACCATTACAATTTTGATTCTCTGCTAAGAGGATGACCGTTTTGGTAGCCCGACGAGCTACATATAAAGTCGAGCACTTAAAGGTTGAACAGTTTAACGAGGACCGGTACCGCGAATCCTCGGTCCCTTCGCAAAATGATCAAGTGTTCACACACTCACTCACTGATTGCTGCCAATAATATTTCTCTTCGTTGATCTACTAAGAGCAGTGTCTTACGACAGTCCACTGTGGGACATGTATTGTTTGAGAAATTTGAGAAGCAATTAATAGAAACAACTTCAAATTATTTCTGACAACCAAACAGGTTTTGATATTTCTCATTCCCTTATGCTCACTGGTGATTTGCCAGATTTCGATAGCGATTTTCTTTGTGCATCGCATAGGTGTTAATTTGTCAACCTTAATGTCTTTACTTTTTTTGATTTGATTTTCGACAAGTTTTCTAAAAATGCAAGTTGATAGTGGCTTTTTTTTTGGAACGTACTTATTAAAATAATTTATTAAAAAAGAATCACGCGATTTGCTAAATGTACCATATGGCTACATTTATACATTTTACAATTTTATTTACTTTTATTATTCATTAGAATTTCCATGCCTTATCACAAAATATATTTTCTCATAAGTTTTCTAAAAGTCAGTTTCTGTTTACGATAACTTAGTTCCGCGAGTGTTCATTCTTAAAACTCTATTAAGATAAATGTTCCTGTTTAATAATTTACACGTGAATTTAAGCCCTCTAATCAACCCAGATGATTTATTTAATAATTATCCGTCAAAAATGAAATTCCTTCATGTAACAAACATGGCACACTTACGCGCGATCCATAACAATTCAAGAGAGCTCTTTACAATAATTCTGAAAACTCTCTCTACTTTTCTGACGTAATTAATCATAATTAATGCAGGCTTCCGTTTAAAACCTTGTTTACTCACCTTTCTCTTCACCGTAACTGAGAAAACTGTTATCTCCACAGCCAGACAAAATGAACAAAGTTTTCTCTTGAAAGTCTTGCGGAGCATCTTGGAGAAAACAAAAATCTTCCTTGTTTGCCGTTGTTGATCGATTCCCCAAGGAATTGAAGGAAAGGATTTGGTTGACTTGTTCCCCCTCGAGAAAATAACGTACACACAAGATCGGATTTTTATTTTGAAACTTGGCGATTTTTCCGAAAAACGGAACATTTAGGTATTTTTTTTTTCCTTCTGCAAAAGAGGCCTAAATATTCCCTCGAGATTATAAGTTTGATGTTACAATATTCAACTAAATAACTACTTAATCACCTATCATAATACCTTGGTTGGCTTGTTTTCGGAATATTTAATGTTTATAAATTTGTTCCTAAAGCATAATTAAAATTTGTTGGTACTTAAAACTATTAATTAAAGAAAAAACCTAAATATTAATTAATAAACATAATTTCTTTATGGAATTTTCTTACAAAAGTACGTCGTAGATAATTTTGTGATAAAACAAGGTTTAAAAATAATTTTTGTGGGAGAAAAATAGAATGCTTCTTAATCATTAAGATCGAAATGATATCGTTTGCTAACTGGAAAACGGGACTCTTAGCAAACTTTCAACATCGATTTTGTAGGCCTCATTGCAAAGTAATGTCAGTAGTTTGTAAAGAGATGTATTTTCCAATTAGTCTACGGCAAGTGTACTATTTAGTATGATTACTTCATACGATTAAAACTGCTGCAATAATACTGTAGCACATGTAGTCGTAGTATATGTCGTAGTACTACATGTAGCACATGGCACATGTAGTCGTATTGCATGTTGTTCGACTACGCGTCGTCGTAAATACTGAAAGATTAATTTACTTAGACATTCATCAATTATTATTATTTATTTTTTAATACTAAGCTTTTAAGTACAACAAAAAATGTAAATTTTTGTGATATTTCTTAAAATTTAAAAATCGGTCCTTATTTCATGCATTCTCAAAAGCTGGAC